TAGCAGGCAGAATGCCTGCAGACTGCAGCGAGAGCAGAGATTTCAGTCTGGCCCTTTAGGACTAAAGTCATTTCAGACACGGGCTACTTTCCCCCCAGAAATAACTCACACACAAATTGAGAATTGCTTGACTCGCTCCAGACAGCACTAGCAATAGTCTGCCTGCTGCAGATGGTAAGAATTCTTCACAGGCAGGTTCTCTGAAAGCATAGTCCCCCCTAGAGGCTGAAAAGATGAAATCTTTTAACATCGTTTGTGCTGCAAAGATACCCTGACATTCAGGCTTCCGGATTCCTCTCTTGTTTTTTTGAGAAATCTATTATCTTTTTATTTCAAGGAATGTGTATTCCTCTGGAACATACCCAAGCGATTTCTCACTGTGACATTATGTATCTGGGTGCCTTTTTTTGTGGTTTGTGATCTTACCTTTTTAGGTGAAAATACTGCAGGATGAAAACTCAAGATGAGCTGACATGTAGCTAAAAAATAAATGGAAAGAAGACGTACTTTTTCTTCTTTTAATTGGCATCAAATTCTGTGTAGATAGTTATTACAAGGCAACAGAACTACACAGACAAAACATTAACATAGTACAGACATATAGTAATACACTTTGCAGAACTTAAGATACTCTTGCTATCTCAACAGCTGCTACTTCACATCACAAAGTAAGGTAAAGGCAGGCAGGTGGATGTAATTTTTACTTTACAGTCAGCAAGAGTGTCTTGTAACAAACTTATTTCTGTGCCCCATATAGTTATAGCAAAGGAACTTGAGCCATACCTTCATTTCCATCAAAAGACTTTGGAGACTCCCTGAAGCACTGTCCCTTCACTGCATGTAGGAATAGCATTTACAACTTTAAACTAGTGATTTCTCATTAGCTGTTCCATGACACACCTCCAGTCACCTCATTTCTTCTCCTTTTCAGGTCAATCCATTCAGTATTATAGCAGGGATAAATCAGCTCTGATACATTTTATGTGAGGAAAAGCCAAAGGTAGGCAGTAGATTTGCTTGTGAAGTTGTGAGAATAAACCTATTTTACAGCAGCACCCTGCCAAGGCACCATGTTGGGATTACATTCCATATTGCCTTTCCAACTAATGGCCTGGTCTGTGTGAGCAATTAACTGCTCACTTGAGTAATGAGTGTGTCTAAATATATCATACATTGCCAAGGAAATATAGACCTTATTCAGAATCACATTAATTAAAAAATACAGATAAAATACATTTAAAATACATTGTTTTTCATTTCTATGATGGCAATAAAATTTTCGCAAATTGTATATAGCATTTTTCAGTTTCTAGTTACTCATCACATGTCTTGGAAGGTTATTCTCTTATAAATGCAGGAAGAAACACTGCAAGTTCTATGAGGAACAGGCAAAATAATATTTTGAAGTGTTTTGAAATAAGAACAGTGTGCAAGAGATTGTATTTCTCTTGGAAGTTAATTTCTCTTCAGTAGTTCTACCACTTCCAAATCGAAGTAGTTGCTTTAGGGATTACTAAAAAGTAAGTTTTCCTTTCCCCCATCATGACTATTATTAAAGAAAAAAATAATTACCTGTACTTCTGCAGTCAAGGCACTTCTGCAGCTGCAACAGCATCTTTGCCATGCCTATACTTTTTATTTCCAAAATGAATGAAAACTAAAGAAGTCATGACTACAGAAAAGGTTCACAAGCAATCCAGTAGCCATTGTAGTGTTGCTAGCTCTACCTACTCTAACTTGATTTTGACCTTTATATAAAGGTATTGCATGCAGTCATTAAACTGACATTGTTTCCAGTTGCTTATAATTTTAATTGAACTTCAACAGTTTGTGTTCAAGTTTTCAAGATGTGTATCTCCCATGGCATTTTTTTGTTGTTGCTCTTCCTCTAGCTTCAGCTGGAATAGCTTTTCCATTCCTCAAGAGATTAAGGAAATATTAATTGCCTTACATCTATAAAAAACCCTGGCAAATTCTTTTTTACTTTGGCCCTTCAGTTTTGGGTGGGGGGAAAGGGAAGGGGACAGCCTGTGTGTGAGGGACATGTACATGCACATTTGTTTGCATGTAAGCAGGTATGAACTCTAAGGTTAGAGAGACACACATTCCTCCAAGCACTCCTACAAGCAGCAAAAGGTTAACTGTATGAATTAAAGATTTCCTCTCCCTCACATGTGGACTATCCCCTTACAACCTGCTTATCATGTTGTACCTGCACTGTCCCTCCCCAGAAACTGAGCTTTATCCCCATCCCAACCCTGTACCCAGTCAGTGACCCAATGGCACATACACAGCACCACAGGGATGAGCACACTTGATTTGGTCCAGGACTTTGAGGGACTTTAGCCACTCCAGACTGCAGAAATAACACTGGGAAGCTTAATTTATTTTTCTTTGCATAGTCTGGGGGAACTCTGGACTGATTCCTTTGCCTCCCCCTGACACATCACAGCACTGGCAAATCTCCAGGGACACCTGGGCACAGAGATTCCTATCTATGAAAAGAAAACACCCTAGGTAACAGGAAATGATCTTTACATTTTATATTCAATAAGGGCAACATTCAGTTTGGGCCATTTTTATTTTTTTTTTAAATCACAGACTCATTCATTAACATGGCCTTATTAAAAAGAGCCAGCTAAGCATCAGTTGCCAGCATTGACTTTGAAGGTAATTAGCTGCCAACAATTGCCAAGAACACCCATTCAAATGCAAGTCATTCCATTCTCACCATAAAATTTTGTCAGGTGTCCTGTGTGTGTTAGTGGTGTGTGCATGTTGTGCTACAGAAGAGCTTGCCTGTGCCAAACATGGAGCCAGACAAGGAGGACAAAGACTCAGAAGCAGTGAAGCACTTGTGAGCCTCCCTGAAACACTAAAGAGCAAACTTCAAATGACTGGTCAGACTGGGAGTAACCCAGGACACAAGTGGAAGTAAGAGGGTTAGGCCTCAGGAGCAATGGAGTATGGCTTTACTCATAAATCCACAGATGAAAAAGTGCACTAAGTGTATAGCACTGTTACTAGTGTGGTACAAGAGTCATTTATGTACCACATAAAAACAATCAATCAAACAAACAAAAAAAAACAAGAAGTGGGGAAAAAAAAATTTAAACAGCCAATTTGCTGTTTATTGCAAATCTATGAATTATACAATGCACTACTGTGAAAGTTGTTTTGTCACACTCTGGGATGGCCTGGACAGACTGGAGGAGTGGGCTAGCAGCAACCTTGTGAAGTTCAATAGAGAGAAGTGGAAAGTATTGCACCTGAGAACACATAACCCAGGAGTGCAGTACAGGAGAGTAGCCCCATGGAAAGGGACCTAGGGGTCTCGATGGATAACAGGCTCAACATGAGTGACCAGTGCTCTGCAGGAGCACAGAAAGCCAACAGGATGCTGGGCTGCATCAACCAGGGCATCACCAGCACAGATAAAGAATTTGTCATCCTGCTCTACCCTATGCTTATCAGACCACCTGGAGTACTGCATTCAGTCTTGAGACTGAGTTTGTTCAGCCTTGAGAAAAGAAGGCTTAGGCGAGACCTTATTACTAGTTCCAGTGCTTAAAGGGTGGCTGCCAGGAAGATGGAGACTCCCTGCTTACAAGGAGTCAGATGGAAAAGGTAAAGGCTAATGGGCACAATTTGCTCCTGGAAAGATTCCAATTGGACATAAGAGGTAGATTTTTTCAGCATGACAACAATCAAACATTGGAATAGTCTCCCAAAGGAATTGGTATTTAGACCAGATGACCCTTGAGGTCTCTTCCAATCTGGCATACAATGATTCAGTGATGCTGTAATAGGTGCTTTTGGAGATTTTTGCTTTTTTTGTTGTTGTTGTTTACACGTCTTAGTACAACACCTTCAAAATTTGCCCCTGGGATTTTACTAATGTAAATACCTTGGACTCCTTCCTGGGCTCAGTTCTGTCTTAGATGGTCACCTCTGAAGTACACAGAACAGTAGCTTCCTCATGTGCAGTTTTCTCCATCAAAAACCACATCATAGTTAAGAGAAAAGTAGCAAATTCTGTAACACAAACATCAGCTGTGCCTTATCAACACCATAGCAGTTCTGTCCAGAGGGCTTAAAAGGGTTTGGAGAGAAAAGATACTTTCTGTTTAGGATTTTGTAACTCTCCAATATGTACTAATACTGCTTGTAAAATAAATGTTAGAAATATCGTCATGGTGACCCTCATAAACAGAGTGGGAATCAGACATGCCAGATCCATCATCAGACAAAGAAATTGATCGCTATTATGTGTACTCTCAAGACAGGAACTATTTTGATGTGCTACTTTAACATGTATTCCCATATAAATGGAACAGAAGTCTTATGATATAAAGAAACCAGGCACCTATGATTTGGCTGTATACCCAGCACTACAGGCAGTATCAGTTTACTGAGTGACATCAGCCCAGAAACTGATTAATCTTTAAGAATACTATGAGGAAAAATGTGGATTATTTTTAAAGCCAGATCAGTTTGTTGATAAGGTTTCTGCTTGTGTTGGTACAGCAGAGTGATAGAGCTGATGAACAGCAGCAAGCCACCAGAGATGGGAGGCAGGAAACCCTTAGAGTAGCCTTCACCACTGAGACCTCCCTATGCTTTTGGTTTTTTATTCCTACTTGTTAATTAATTAATAAATTATGGGGAAAACTTGCAGAGGAATCTAAATTTTAATACTATTGACAGATCTTGTTCCTGTGGCTTGATTTTTTGTTTTCTGGGTTTGGGGATATCATGCTACAAGTTCTTGAGCTATCATTTGCTTTTGAAGGAAAGTGAGAAACACTTTGAAGTCTTCTCAGGAAACACAGAGTTGAAAAAGTCTGCAAGCTCATCACACTTCTCACTCTGACATTATCAGCAGTCACATGCTTTTCCAGACAAAATAAAAATAAAAACAAAAATATCTGTTTCTATATCTAGACCTAGATCTAGATATATAGGTATATAGATATAGATATATAGATATATATACATACATCTGAAGGATGCCTTTTACAGATGAATCCAACTCTGCTTCAAAATTGGTTGTAGTCTGACCAGCCATCCCCTCTTTTGGAAGAGATTTCTATAGTACAGTCATTTTGTATGTGTCTTCACAGGAGGAGGTATGTTTTCCACAAACATTCAAAGGGTCAATGAAGGAAAACCAGTCTGAGTCGGTTTAAAATGAGCTTCATAGTGTCTACCTCTGTTACTAGTAGCACAGCATAAGTGAAACATTTGGATTCTAGTTCCCAGCAAAACTGGCAGCCTGGAGAGTAGAAGCTATGCAGACAAAACTGTTCCTGTGCTACTTTCAGCCACAATGTTAGATTCAGGTGAAGGATTGATTAACAAGGTATTAAGACCTAGTACCAACAGGTCATCACCTAGTTGTGTACTGTAAGGTCAGAACCCTTTTTGAAAAATGTTTGCATAATCTCTGCAGAAACCTTCAGAACCCATATTCAGAAATTCGCCCAAGGTTTAGATATTATTACTATCCATGCATAATAGTATGGAATAAAATAGCAAGTATTGCAATAAGTAGTTTTCTTCTAAAAAATGTGGTGACTTAAATAAAATACGTGCTTCAGGAGCTCTGCCATTTGCAGTTTATTATAGCAATAATGGAATACATATTAATATATTGACTTGGTGGAAGACACAATTATCATTTTTCATTACAGCACTGGAATGGGAACAATTAGATTACCAGGAGAGGCCACAAAAGCTCTAGGAACAGATGGGTGGATGGACAGCACAGCACAGCAGAGTAATGAAAAGAGCACAAAGCAAAAAAGTGGGAAAGCAGTAGTCAACAAAGTTTTATACACCAAAGCAAGCCAAAAGAGTAGATCTTCCACTAAACAAGGAATTGGCTGTTTCATACATTGATTATTGTCATTCAATGTGACCAAGATGTGTGAGAAGTCAACAAATAAAAGGGAAAAGGTTCACAGAAAAAGCTAGAAACAGAGGAAGAGGAAATGGAGGTGTCCTTATCCTCTCTGCAAAGCGAGAGGGGCTTTTTGGAAGTGTGGCTTCATTTGCACACTGACAACAGAGACCTCTATGAAGTGATGCCTTCTTTATATGCAGTTTACCATGTATTTCCTAAGACCCTGCTTGTTCTTTCCTTTCCTTTCCTTGTGTATTTTGATTTTGCTGACACCATGAGTAAGTGCTTTTATGGCATACATACACACAAACTACTGCTTGAAAATGTTTAACTTAGTCTCCTGTATGTGTGTTTATAGAATAAGGTCAAAAGGACATAAGCATTCCTTATATTTGCAAAAAAACCCCAAACCTCTTCCATGTATTTTGCTGCCAAAGCAGACAGAAAGAGCAAACATGCACAATTGTGGAAAGGTTAGCAAGAATTAGAACTCCATCTGAAGAAGTAAGCAATATGAAGACAGAGCCAGAAATGAGACAAACAAGCAGGAAGTCACCACAGAGATATGACAGCAATGAAAAGGGAAGCTATCTGTGGTCGTAATCACTTCATTGAAACGAAAAGGCCTGTATTAGTGTAGGCTGCATTAGTTTACTGAACAGTTGCATGATTTGATTAAATTGGCATAAATTTTTGGGAAAAAATATACTTAAAGAGCAGCTACCAGTCAGCTTATGTTAAACCAGGAGGATATTTCAAGCTGATTCTATCCCATGTTTGGTTCTTGTCCATAAAGTTGTTAGGTGTATGAAGGAGGTAAGATTGTATGTTAAAAATCTGTGAGCATGACAAAATGAAAGAGGGCTGACAAATACCCTAAAAATTTGATGGCCATGACAAACTGGAAAGGTAGTTTGAAGCCAAACACTTTAATAATTCAAAGTGTTTTTCCCTTCAGGAAAGTGTTCAGAAAAGCTGAATACAGTGCAGGATAGCACTGCAGAAAAGTTTCTGCTCATCCTAAAGAGCCACAAATTGAAGGCAAGTGAGCAATGTGATGCTGTTACATTAGCTTAAGTGCTTTCTGTACAATCTGAGAGTAGCCCTCTCCGTTCTTCAAGAATACTATGCTTGCTTTGAGCATTATTGTTTGAGAAAAACACAAACTGGAGAATTCAGAAAGGAAGAAACAGTCTGGAAGCACGTTCCCCTGAGACAAGCTTAGCCTAGAAAAGAGAAGACTGAAAAGACATTATGGTCCCTCCACGTAAAACAGATGTTTTAAAGATAGTGATCACTTATTTTTTTCTGTTTCATGCTATTGCCAAAATCTCCCATCCCATTCTTCCAGGTAAACTGTGAATAAATAAATCTTTATATCTCCCCTCTAGACAACTTCTACTCTGATCAGCATTTAACAATGGAATCCCTCAGGAATTCATCTTCTGGCAGCTACTGTTTTCTGTCCTCTACCCCATTGAATAAAACCTTCAAATTATTTGCCAGTTTAGTATTATCTGTAGTAAGATTTCAAATACTTCCAAGTGAAAATGACACAAAAAAGACCTTATATAAATTGTCATAACCGATTTGACAAAACTCACAGGTAAGTTGTCCCTGCTTTCATCATCTTTCACATGCTTCTTTATTTGAAGCAATGCTACACTGGAAATGTGTGAAATTAAGCCTTAACTGCAATGACAAATACAGTCAAAGGAAACAAAAACCTTAGAATGCAACATCTACTTTCCCTGTGCTGTCTGTCATTTCCCCTGGAAATTTTCTGATGGAGCACTTGCAGGGGAAGCTAATGCAGTATTTTTTTTGGTTTTGGGTGTTTGGAGATCATTTCCAGTGCTATGGAGTACGATGGAAGTGGCTTGCAGTAAGAATCAGAATTTGGAGAATCAGTAGTTATGACCTGCAGCAACAGTGTGACTTGGAAATGCATTTCTGGCTTCTAATCATGTTATGTAGGAAATTCCTCATGTGCCACATCATGCCAGGGCCTGGAAGGCTCTGCTCACAGCACAGAGGAAGAAAGTTTTGTCACATGCAGATCATTACTTTTTTTTTCTGGTCAGAGTATCAGGAACGATGTCTGATCAGGCTAAATATTTTGGGGGCTAAATATTTTTTTAATTTCATAAATTATTAATTTTAACTTTTCACTGTGTAGATAGTATGTAAATACATCCATGGTCTGCTGTTACAGGCTGTTATCAGGAAAAAAAAAATACCAGTGATATCTACAGGGAATAAAAGCTCTTCAGAAATTGATACTCCACTATTACAAAAATATCTGAAATAAAACACACTCTCAGACTTCAAATTCTCAAATACACATTAAATTTAACCGTAATATTTTTTTGTTAGGTTACCACAAAAGTACTATGGATTCTGGAAAGATCTGTGTATGGACAAAAAAAGTTTTATGTAGTAGAATAGTGTGGTGATGCTCAGTTATACTAAAAGCTATTTTAAATTTAGGCACAAAACCCAAGGGTGCGTCGAAGAGCCAGAAGTCTGGGGAAAAAAAAAAATAAATTACCAGTTCAATTTTTCACACTAGTTCATTGTAATAGTTTAAGTTGTGATTAGGACAGTTAAGGACATGTCAATTTTTTTTTTTTTTTTTTTTTTTTTAATGTTTATTACGTCTTCTCAGTATATGAAATTGCTAACACTTTATTTGCCTTTCTAAATGCCCCGCTGCAGCCCTCCTGTCTCCCTGCAGCCCTCCTGTCTCCCTGCAGCCCTCCTGTCTCCCTGCAGCCCTCCTGTCTCCCTGCAGCCCTCCTGTCTCCCTGCAGCCCTCCTGTCTCCCTGCAGCCCTCCTGTCTCCCTGCAGCCCTCCTGTCTCCCTGCAGCCCTCCTGTCCCGCTGCAGCCCTCCTGTCTCCCTGTAGCCCTCCTGTCCCGC